TGACAATCAATAAATAATACAATTAAGTAGGGATTTAATGCAAATCACTTGCTTATCAGGTATTTATTTTGCAACTGCAATATTATTTTCACGAGTTCTATCACGTAGTAGCTTTTTTTTTTATGAACAAATTCCTAACAGTCCCCAGCAGTTGTTTAGATGAAGATCATAGTGTAATATAGTGCATCATCAAAGTTGTTGTGAATATATTAAAGWCTTATAATTATATATATTAAAGTAAAGTACCTATTATTTAATATTTATTAATGTAAAGTTTTAACACTCAAAATGGGTAAAGAGTACAGCTACATAATATTATATGTAATAAAATACAATAAATGCATGTAGGTTTAATTTTAACTAATATTCATGTCCATTATCAATTWTTTTTTTTAATTTGAGTCGTGAATCAAAAGAAAAACCAAAGTTAGGTACATTATTACAAGCATCTAAGGGGTAATACTACAGACTACATTTAACTATATYCATTTAAAATTTTTTTTTTCAAGCGGAAGAAAATGCATAACCRTGCATCTGTGGCAGGTACRAAGAATGTATTGCCCACCGTGGAAAGAGGAACAATGACGTGGAGAAGAAACAAATCGTATGCTAWAGGGATCAATATGTCRGCCGTGATCGTCGTTGGATTACTTGCGCTATTGTTGGCCACCCAATCATCCAATRGTCAAGTCGACCAACTYCTCTCGGTGACGATTCCGAACTGTCAAGATGAACGGTTTCCTAAAGAAGCGGTCGCGGAGTGTCGAGTCGACGAAATTCCTGAAGTGAGGGCCGTGGACGACGGTGTCAACCGAATTCTTGCAGTGGCGAGTGCGGACGATCAAGTCGACAGAAGCCCCGAAGTGGCAATCGAGGATGGTCTGCCGGGGCCGTGGATATCCGACCTGTTTTACCAGGCACTATTCAATTTCAAAATTCAGCACGTCGGCAGCTCCATTTGCCGGACCCAATCCGACATGTATGACAGACATTTGCGGAACCACACCAGTTGGGCGGTTAGAAGTGAGCATCCACTCCAATTATATTAGACGTTACCCAACATTGTAATACCCATACCATTACAACTATATAGAAATGTATACAAAAAGTAAGTTGAATGATTCATAGTTGTTTGGCGTTATAGTCATGTTTAAACAAATTCGATTTTTTTAAAGTAATTATTCGTTATGAAATAATCACTGAACTTTAATTTTATAATTTACATTTTTTTTTTTTAAATATCTTGTGTATTTTTAATGTTCATTAATCATGTTTAGTGTTTCTAGTTGATTAACTAATTAAATATATTGAATCAAATACTTATATAAATATATATATTTTTTTTAAATAAAATGATTTTTTAAACAGTTGGACTTTTTTTATCCACAATTAAAGAACGAACAAAAAATCAAAATTATAATACGGTGCACTAGTAATATATAGTATACCTATAGTTTATATTATATTGGTATTACGCCGACTCATAAGTTATGATAGACACATTTAATATCGTAACGGAGTCTTGCTCTTATGTGTGTCTGGTTGAACTTTCATTTTTCAGTGGCGGAATCCTGGAACCGATATCCGACTGGCATATTAGCGGGCAACCAATATCACATGGGAACTTACGACGAATGCGTTGACGTACGTCACCCGGTGATAGGACAGTATTGCTTGTCCGAAATAAATCTAAGTCCATTGACCGGTAGAGATTACAGTTTCAATACAACGGATGATCTAGATGATTTTGGGAATAAAAATGCCTGGAATACGATACTCGGGGTACGCTCAATCAAATCCTACAGTTAACTGTTTTTAAGTACCGTTAAAAATATAAAATGATTCACGGTACAACATTTAACAATTATGTACATGTTATACACATGATATCATAGGTACTGCTTGGTCWACTACATTTTTTTTATTGCGGAAATACGGAATTTAAATTTTGAATAATATATACCTATAACAAAGGTATAGACATTATTATAATAAACGTAAAAACCTAAGTATAAATCATRATATTAAAATGTTAGCCGGTTTTGAATACTTCATAGTTAATAAATWCGAAAATAACGATTTAATGGTTTTTACTTTGAGCTTAGATAGCTGACTAAAAAAAATATTTTTGATTTTGAACAATAGCGGGTCCTATTATTAATATTAAAACAGCTAGGTAGGTAGTAAACATCTTAAAAAGCAATGTGATATCGAGGACCATAAATCAAACCTGTATAATATGAAACTTAAATACTAAACATACTCTTACTACTTATACGCGCTTAAAATATATAACTTATTGTATATTGGTATGWAGAATTGATGTTTCTAGATATCGAACTAATATGTATGCTATTATTATTAATAACATTTTCATCTTTTTAGTAATAATATATTTACCCCTTGATTKTTAGCCATATTTAAGTGCTTTAACCATAATATTATAAATACATTTTACTAAAATAAAGATAAAATAAATTTTATTAAAATCATACTTACTAAAAGTTGAGGTTTACTACTTACTTAAATCGTTTCAGTGGGGCAATTATCCAGACAAAGTGAAACGAAACAAATTGAATTTGGGAATATGCATTCCGGATTCATGTTCGGCGTTCGACCTGCAAACTTCATTGCAAAACGAACTGGACAGGGTGTTCACACCAGAAGACATCAAAGCTGTCGTGAAAGTGGATCCGATAAAGTGCACGGTCAGAGGAGACATGTATCCCTACAACACATCGTACTACGTGACCAGGTCATTCAATATTATTATTACTTTAGACTTTAGTTTTATTATTAATGTCCGATGATTAGCATTGATGATCAAAAATAGTTGGATTCCAAGTAAAAATCTTTTCCWAGAAATATTTTAGATTTAGCAGACATTTTTGGAGATATTATAATATGATTTAGAGTGTATCAATGTATACCCAMTAAGTTATCAAAATAATAAGACCCTGTTAAAAATGTGTATATTACCTATAAATACTGCAGTGTAAATTATATAGATACCTACGTGTAATATTAATATATTCTACCTACTCATTCATCTGTTTGTTATTACATTGTTCCAGAATGTTTTTTTTAATTCTTGTTTTTATTTGTTGCGGCACAACGTTGTATCATTACATAAAAATATCATACAATAAAAATCCAAGAGAAACCACCAGTGAGTGATAACGATTTTACGGAAATTATTTTTTTTTATTTGTATAATCTGAGCTCAATTATTGTTAAAATACATGTGCATTATAATATTTATTATTAAAATATATTTTATATTATTATTTAAAGGTGAAGGTTTCGGTTCATTTTACAATACATTTTCATTCATTGATTCGACCAAAGCTTTGTTAAAATTCGACAAGGACAACAATCTAAATTCACTCTATGGATTTAAAGTACTAATGATGATAATCGTTATAATGGGTCACAGATTATTTTATGTGTTTGGAAATCCCATGAGTAAYCCTAAACATTTAGAAAGTGTAAGTTACGAATATATTTTTGAAACTAAATTACCTAAARATTATTTGAAATATAGTAATTGCGTGTTGGGGAATTTTAAATTTTAACCTACCAAACATGAATCTCTACTCTGTTCAAGATAAGCCTTACCTCCTCGTCGGTGGTCAGACGTATTGTCAGTCACTTCCCTTACCAAATCTACGCTCGAGCGCAGTGTTTTGGATCAAAGCCCATGCGGAGAAGCCGGCCGCCGAGATCTTTTCTTATTTTGAACARAGAATAGATTCAATATTCTATCAGACACTACCACTAATGTTGAAAATCAAATTGAAAGAAAATTATTGAAAAAAAAAATATTCAATAAAAAGCTTTAAAATATAATGAAAGTTTAACCCGTAGATATATCCACATAAGATTTTTTTTATTTTCATGAAAAAAATCCGTAAAGCTACCTAGGTACATACATATTTGTTTTAATATGGGATTAAATTTTAAATTGGTAGGTTATTTTTGTGTATGTAAATATGTATACTACATAGTAAGTACTTGTAATAATGCTTTGATTTTCAAAAATATTTTTAAATAGTTCTAAAAAAGTCAAAATATTTTGCGAATAATACATTTATAAAATAAGTATAGATAATTATAATATAAACATTTGGTGAAAGTCTCATATATCTACGATTGTTTGTTTACTCGTTTCTCAAAAACATATCAAAATAAAAAAAATCGGATTTATACCTATTGATTATATTTACCAAGCTTTATTTTTCCAAAATTATTTAATTAAATAAGTAGGTACTAGGAACTATTTACTTTTGACTCTTTTTCTTTTAAAACTATCAACAAGATTGAATGTCTTTTTAAGAAAAGATATGGAATTTGAAAATTTATGCATTTTTACATTTTTACTGTTCCAAAATGTGATCAATGATGAAAACTACAAATGTTTTTTTTTCACATTTGTTTATTAAAAATTACTTTAACCTCTTAAAACTACCAACTAGATTCAATATTCTATTAAAAACCACCTCGTAGTTTAAAACCAAAGCATTATTTAAMAACTTTTATACGATAAGTATAAATACACTATTACTATACATACGCAAACAAATTTAAGTTAAATTTTAAAAAGATCACGTCTTATACTTTAATCTCCGCAACAATTACAGATATATCACAATGGTCCTGATCTTCTATTGACTGTTGCAAATTTGGTCGACCCATTTTTTTTCATAAGTGGTTTTATCATGTATTTAAACGTCTCTCGGTCATCTAAAAACAAAGTTGGAATCAAAAAAATCACATCGCCAATTATTCACCGAGTATTAAGGTGAGTCTTACGATTTATTTAAAAATGCAAAAATGCATAGAACTTCATTGCACACATTTTCAGAACAAGGTGATGATGGTTTGTGAGAAATCAATGATTACTGCCTTACTGCTCACCGTACTTTTTTTTTATTCATTAATTTATTATTTATTTTTTATTGGGAGGGGAGGGGGGCGTTATCGAGTGAAATATTTGACACCCTTTTTTAGTTCATTACAAATACATTATTTTAATAATATTTCTTTATGAATCTCAATCGTAAGCGTTATACTAATATACATTATTACATAAATGGCAATTCATGACGTGTATTATGTATTAAAATACGTAACTATCTGGATAATACTATAGTAGTCAAAATAACAGAATTGAGAGTCGCGGTAGTAGGGATAACATAAAAAGTACCGAAAAAAAATAATATGATTAATTAGTTTCTGATCTATTCAAATTAAATTTTACATAGGTTTAGTACTTCAAGAACCTGCATGATTACACTGTAAAACAATTATTCTTACTTTAAGAACTTTTTTTGTTATTTCAAAATTTAAAAGATTTTCAACGATCCGATAATATGTTTTCATAAATCCAAAACGACCGCTYCGTGTCTACAAAGTTGATCAGTGCAAACTTAAATYCAACAATGTCTTCAGTTTCCAGAGCCACTGCGCCGCTGCCCGCTGGTTTATAAATATCTAATTCTAATCTCCTAATTTTATAAGCGTGTTTACTCATAAACTCAATAATATTAGTGATGATTTTATTTTTTTTATTGAAATATAACAAATTAACAATGAAAAATGATGATAATTATGGATAATTTTTAWTATTTAATTTATAATTTATAATATATATTATGCTAAATAATCTAGAAATAATCAATATATGGATTTATATTTTATATGCTCAAATATGCAARATAAGTTTACATATTAGTACCTAATTTAGACTTCATGAATAKAATTTGTATCATATTCGGGTATAATTATKGTTTCGAGAAAAAAATATGCTAATTCATAAACATCCGAGCTCTAATAATAATAATAAACTGTTGACCTGTGTGTAGAATGTTACCGGCGTATTGCTCAATGATGGCGATCACGGCGCATATCGTACCTCACCTTGGGGACGGACCACTGTGGCCAAAGATTATATGGGAAGAATCTGATATTTGTAAAAATTATTGGTGGACGAATTTGTTGTTCATAACCAATTTTCTCGAAAACAAATACGGAGTAAGATGTGACTATACTATWTATTATTATATAATATATAATATAATTTTTATTTAATCAATTATTATTATATTATAACCAGCGTAGTTTATTGTGMTTTGCTTAAACCGGTTAAACGGTGTGTTTTAATTTTAATCCTACAGTTACTAGAGAGGAAGGGTAAATATTATTTATAAATAACATGAATATAATATTATAGGTAAATTTACGGGGTGCGATTCAATATCCCACCAGAGGTTACAGGTTAGGTTAGGGGTATAAAATATACTTAACAAATAGATATTCCACTAAGGATAATTCACCCTCCYCCACCCCTATAAGATTTAAATCTTGTAAATTTCAATAGTAAATATTTACTCTCGATAAAAACTCACTAGATCATCAATTATAAATTAAATTTATCATTACATAATATTAAAATATTTTTAAATAAATTAATATCATCTATCAATTTAATTAGGAATAAGGTCCATTTACCCTGCAGCTTTTTCTAATTAAAAAAATAATCTTTTACACACCAAAAAATAAAAATGATGAAATATAATGTAAAACAATGTTTTCATCTCTCAGCTTAAAATCCAACATTAATTAGACACCGACTTAATCCACGTATATTGCAATAGTTGAATATACATTTATCCTAAGTTGACAGATAAAAACTCAAAAGTTATTTACAAATATATTTTAAATATTATTCGATTTAGTTAACGTAAAAGATTAATGTACTACGTGCCTATATTTTAAACTTGTTAATGGCTACATTGCGGATATATAAGATAAATATTTCAAACACAAAATAAAATATATTTACCTAAATCAAATATGTTATTTTTAAATATAAAAATTTGTTAAATTCGGTGGATTTTTTAAAATGATAAAAATATTTACTAGTGAAGATATCCCTAGTAAAATTTTATCGGTCAGGTAAATTTTGCGTTTACACCAGGCGCCGGATACCCACGGCCACGGGACTTCTTGCTGCGGCMCTCCAAATATATTTAATGGTGTTTAAAATTTCAATTTTAKAGCTYAAATTGTTATAAATAATATTTGATCACGACTATTATATAACAATGCGAGAACAATAAGCTATGAGTGATATCGTAATAATGTATATGTATATCGTYGATTACGACAAATACGAAACTGGTTATGTGCTAAGTCTAAGTGCAGTTCGCTTAAACAATTCCAACGTGAAGTTTAAATTTCAATTATTTTATAATAACCTACCAATTCAATGTCAAAAAAACGTAAAATCGTTCATTCAACGATTCAACGAATCATGAACGGATTTGTGTTTTTTTTTATCGAAGATATAAAGATAATATACTGTTATGTTTAATTTGCCAAAAAACCATTTTATCTGTAAAAGAGTACGATGTTAAACGTCACTGTGGAACAAAGCATATTAAATTAAAATTTGATAATCTTACTGGTGATCTTAGACAGATTAAAATAATTTTAAATAATAATAATTTTAAAAGTTCACACTATAGTAACTTAATATTTATATATTATAATGTACTCAAGAATTAATTAATAATTATTTTTAAACTTTTAAATTTTCTATACTAATGTTTTTAATTAAAAATTATTTAATAAGGACAACCAAAATGTTAAACACATAATATTATGATTGTTGCTATCTGTAAATATATTTGTATTATATGTTAAAATTATATCTTTTAATATTTTAATTTTGTGTGCGGCCCCCCCATAAAAAACTGAAACAAATTATGGCCCGTGTAGGTGAAAAGGTTGCCGATCCCTGGTTTACACCAATCTATAATGTTAACTGGTAAAATACGAACATTAATTAATTATTGTAATTTTTTTTTTCATATTTTATGTCTAATTATGATATCTCTAATAATGATATTGATATAGTATTTAATGATGAAACCATATTGTTCTTTAAATTATTGACAATCGAGMACATGCATATAAAACTAATGACCAATTTCAAAAACTTTTAATAATTTCGGAAAGCAGGTGTTACGGAAAACAACATGATACGAAAAAAAATTGTAATAAATATTAATAGCAATAATAAATAATAATATTATTATTATTATTATAATTTTTTTTTTTCCACATAAGTATAATTTATAAAGTCCCTTTATAATAATATCATTGTATACCATGTGTGTAATACAATTGTATTCAGATGTATAATAAATACCCATTGACTTCTGTATAAATTTTAATAATATTACAGTGCCTCCTGGTTAACTATTATGTGTCATGTGACGTTCAGTTCTTTGTAGTTGGAGTGATAATTGTTTATGTTTACATGGAAAATTCCAAATTTGGCATCGGATTACTCGGTATAGTATTGACTTTATCGGTATCCGTGCCGTTTCTGGTCACGTTTATGATGGAAAGAAACGGGATTGACCTATTTTATGTTTCGTAAGTCTAATCTAAAATTTATTAAAATTAAGTGCTCAGATATTAAGTCAATTAACTACCTACATATGTGTACTTAAATATAAGAAATATTCAGAAATTGTAGATGATTATACTTTATTTACTATGTTATTGAAAGATTTTAGAACTTATAAATAATTCCTGATTCCAGAATAAGTCATAACTTTAACGAATACTGACGATTTTAGCATTAGGTCAACAAGATGATTTTCTAATCATACTTTCTATATTTGTATRCTTAAATTATGCATATATTCAAATTCTGGTGTTTTGAATTTTCAAATATATTTTCAAACCATATTTATTCGAAKACTTGAGATTTTTTGTAACACTTAAGGATGATGATATAACAATATAAATTTATATTTTTCTAATAAGACGGGTTACTTCCGAGTTACTTCCACTTTCAATTTTTAAGCAGTTATTTTTGTCGAGAATTTTTATGTATCTAAATCAAAATTTGAGCAATCAGTTTTTTAATTATTTAATTTTATGTAGGTACTAAGGAATAAGGATGATACTATAACAACCTAGTGTAATGAATAATGAATTAAGTAGATATAGGGGCTTAGATGATTTGAGAGTTTGTAATAACTAATAAGTAATAAGTCCTAATAACTATCAATATAATTATTTTGTAAATATGATCCAATTATAATAAATACTATACCTAGTATTGCGTATAGTTTATATATTTTTAAAACCATTTTTAAGGACTGTTATTCTAAGTATAAGTTTTTAATAACTCAAAACTACCTATTTATTATAATTTTAATCAAGACAAATAAACATTTTTTAAGAAATTCATTCACTGAATAATTTGYMATAAATTGGGAGGATCACATTTGAAGAATATAAAAAATATAAGGTTTTTATCGCCACAGGACTCTTGTAAGTAGAAAAAAAATATCAGAGATTTAAAAATATAGTATTTAGACTTAAGGTATATTCAAAAGCCTAAAAATCAGAATTTGAATACAATTTTCTTTTAAAGAAATAAATCATCCAAGTTTTGTCATTTTAACACTCCCTGAAACATGATATATTTTAGGACATTATACCTATGTCTTGAAAAATCATCATAATGGATGTGTTGAATTCACTTACCCGCTTATTTTCAATTTTTAGTCATAAAAACTAATTTTAAGAAAATGTAAATGAAATGCACAGGGAATCCTAATCAAATTCTTTGTTAGAAATTTCAGGTATAGAAGCCAATAAATTATTAAACTGTATTTTGTAGTTTTGTACAACAATAATACACTTAAAGTTAACACTATTTGATTAGGTATCTATTATATACTTTTGTCATACATATAATGATTATATTATATAGGAAATAATTAATTAATAAAACATTTTTCAGATATTTAGAAAGTTTAAGGTTTTACTTAACGGTAAATGAGTCGTACAGATTAAGTTACATGCGAGCCACACCTTTCTTTGCTGGTTTAGCCACGAGCTTTATCGTGGAAAAGTTGAAGGAAAACAAAGTGAAATTTTCTCATGTAAGTGCTTTTATTTTTAACGGACGTTCGCGCTCTCAATACATTTTAATATTAAAAATAAAATAACTGAATTTCGTGTACTACCCATAGATTACTGTCTACGGTGGGACACTCATTGTTTTCATAGTCTGTCTTTACGCACAGCTATACGGTGTAAAATTTTACTCTCAGCATAGACCTTATTACCCGGTGGAACACGCTTTGTACTCAGTTGTCAGTCATTGTACGTGGTCGGTATGGGGCATGTGGTGTTCCATTTGCTTGTTCACGACTGGATATGGTAATCCAAATTTCATTATATTATTGCAATTAATTGTATTAATGTTATTACAATAAGTAGTGTACAAAAATGGTTGATGGTCGTATTATTATATTACCCGTTACCAAACAACCAAACTATGTAGACTTTTGCACATTACCTACTCGTGATTCTGTTAATTGTCACATGGAAAACGTTAGTCATTTATTAAATAATAATAATAATATTTTAGAATTACTCAAATATAATATTAAAAATTATTACCTACTTGTTATTGTTATACCGATTGTTGACTGTCTCTAACATTGTCCAATGCAGGGGGTACCCTAACTGACCCTAACTGGCTTCTAAATCTTCCTAAAATATATTTATCAAGTTTCAACTGTATAATAAACAATAACGTAAATGCATATATGTTTTAATTGCTAAGCCTTCATAAATCAAATATTATGGAATAATTCGATGAAACATACATAATAATATATAATATTATATTATACTATTCAACTATTGTATACTAAATACAAATCTATATGGGAAGGCGAACTGTATATAGACTAAAAGTAATAATTTACTTATAATATTATTAGTAATAAAACTATTAATTTATGCRAAAAACATTGTGTTTGGCTACCGATTTTTCCAAAATGATCAGTGATTTTTTGGCCACGGTATCAACTATTAATATTAAATATTATTAATGAAGAATTACCTTGTATTATTTAATTCAAGAATAACTAATAAGTTATAAAAATCAAACATTTTATACATTTTCAATCACATTATATTAACTGTCGTTTTTATCATAATTTGAACTCGAAATGATTATAAAAAAAGAGGATAAGTAAGTGAATGTCGCTCTGTAGTACAGTAGGTTACAAGTGAGTTACTGTAATGGATGTTATTAAATTTGAATTCAATGATGTAATATCATTGTATACGAAAAACGAGTTTGAGTGGAGATGGTTTATCAGTCTAGGATTCGAATTAAAGGYAGAAACGTATTTTATTTCATMATATATAAATAGATATATTTTATAACCTTTAACTATTCAACACTTAAACGGTAATATACGTTAATCATTTTCAGAGATCAAACGAATCAAATKTATACAATTCGTTCATATTATTTTATTATCGTTGTTTATAAATAATACATATAATGTATGATAGGAAATATTATATTGTTCAAGCCCTGTACTATTTTACAGGTCCCTTTAAATACATAATGAATAACAGACTTGCTGTGGCTTTGGGAAAACTATCGTACTCAGTTTTTTTGGTGAATATTACTGTCATTATGATGTCTCATAGTACAATGAGATCGCCGTTTTATCTTTCGGATAAGTCCGTGGTAAGACGTCAAGACGCATTTTCGTGTCAGAACATTTAAACTAATCAAAATGTTAAAAACCGTATAATAATTTATATTCATTTTCCAATCCTCACGAATGGACAATAAATTAATGAATTTATTATATGKCATGGATTTTATATGTTGTACTTCGTGCGTGTTTTCAGGTGGATTTATGGATATTTGATATATTTAAGAGTTATGTGGTGGCCTTCGCATTATACTTGGTAGTTGAAGCACCATTTAATAAAATTATTAAACGATGGATTGAACAAGGGTAAACATACTTTTTTTTCTTCCGTATCATGCACGACTAATGTTTCATTAAATGTTTATTTTAGGTAAAGAAGAAAAACTTAGTACTTAAATATAAAGCTTATTATTAGTGCCTAAATCGAGTCATCAATAAAAAATTATTCGATTAGTTTATACTTTATAGCAATTGCTGCAGCTATGTATTTTTTTAAAATCACATATAACTGATTACACTGTTAATAGGTACTGCTCATGTTTAGAATTTTGAAAATTTTTAGATTTATGGTTTTATCATCGGTTATATTTGGTTAATTATTTATAATATAATTATTAATAATTCACTGTTGAATGTAGCTTTTAGTAATTTGTAATTTATATCAAAATGTATTTCGGATAAAATAATTTTACTTTATTTTAATACATCAATAGGTATTGTTTTACCTAGCTAGCTTATAGTCAAATCAAATGTTATTATTTCACTTGTATTACTTGAATTTATCGATTTAAAACTTATTTTTAAGGCAACACTTTTATATCATTGTATAAACTGTATAAGTTACTTACGCAAATATATAATATAATGGTACTACAAATTATATTACWGTTATAAACCATATTATTGGTTTAAATTAGTGATAGGTCACGTAAAAAATTAACAATATAATATATAAATATCACCATAATATATGAATAGTGAGTACTTAAACACAATTAGTTATAGTGTTACTTAAGTTAAAAAAAAAWTTTTGTGAGGTTACTCATCTACGGTCGGAGACTATTGACACGCTATAAAGCTAGGCACCGACCACCTAGGATCAGCCGGAGAAGTAGGGGAAACGTAGATTTTAATATAGGTATTTGTTTATATACAGAATTAGTTTTATTTAATGGAATAATTATAATATATTACATTTATCCAGTTATCCTATATATTAAGGATGTAAATAGCGCACAAAATATATTTATGATTTTGTAAAATCATTTGTAWGCTTTTACCCAGCACCTGTAAGGAGTGTAAGGCCACAGAATTAAAAAATATCTGTTGTGAATGTTTTTTTTTTCCCAATATTATTGTTTTCTATTAATTTATATAATTACGTATATTTATATTTACGTAGATACCTAGGTATGCTAATATATTATATTGGTATGAATTACAATGCTGAGTTGTCCGAGAACAGTATTTTTTTCAAGATAAACTTGTAATTTCGTTAAWTATAGATRTTTTACTTTTAAGCTGATCATATCTAATTAAGTAGGTATCGAAATATTRTGGTGTAGTATTGGTATTCGCAATCCGACCATTATAAAATTATATTATTATAACTAGGGCCCGAAATTGTAGRMGTTTGCATATTTTTATTTATTAAATTAAAAAATARCTAGGTAAGATACAATAAGTTGAATCTTAATCTRATATTTTGGTGTGTAAAATTAAATGCTGCGTATTTTTGCATGTTTGGAACATTTTTAATTTTTACGCATATTTTAGAATTTTTCTAAAATAAAATGCATATTTATGAAAAAATAGTACCTATTATGTTATTAATACTAATACTTAATACTATATCATATGTAAAATCCA